GTTGTATCATGGACGATGAAACTTATTGCGTTGCTGACTTTAAACAAATTCCAGGACAGGAATTTTATGTTGCCAATAATAAAGACGAAATTGATGCAAAGTATAAGTACAAAAAAGTGTCGAAATATCCAAAAAAATATCTTGTCTGGCAAGCAATATGCACATGTGGTAAAAAAAGGAAAGAATTCGTAACCGTGGGCACAATTAGCACAGAAAATAAAAGAGTGCTTGGAACGGAGACTTCTCCCTTTTATACAAAGTCATGATGTTCCTGTTTTCTTCTGTCCTGATTTAGCCACTTGCCACTATTCAAAAAAAGTCCTAGAATTTTACGCAGGACATAATGTCAATGTGGTGCCGAAAGAGGCTAACCCTCCGAGTTGTCCTGAGTTACGGCCTATTGAAGTTTTTTGGGCTCAAATGAAAAGAGAGCTGAAGAAGACAAAATCTGAAGTCGATACAGTAGCACAATTTCAAATAAGATGGCGTAATCAAGCTAAAAAAATGTCAAAAGATGATGTCCAAAGACTGATGAAGGGGATATCGCAAAAGGTGCGGCAGTTTTGGAGAAGGGACTAATTTCATTGTTACTTTCCTATTTTTAATAAAAACATATTTCTTAAAAGTGATATATTTTCATTTCGCTTCATTTACTTTGTTTTTGTGAAAATTAGAGCAGCTAATTGGCTGCCAGATTTCAAATGAACCACTTAGTACATTGCATTTGAGTATGGAGAGGCAACTATCTGGAAGTATTTTACATGCAAAATTTACTAAGTATTTCCCGGTTTGTAGTTGCAGTTAAAGAAAACACATGAAAAGGCACGATTTTTTTTAAATTCGAAAAAATGTAAATATTTCAAAAACGGTGACACATTTACCTGAAAATTTTTTGTTTATCAGGGAGCTCACCGCCCCACCTACCTTCCCCTAAAGTTTGGCATGTTACTTCTGGGACACCCTGTATACGAGAGATCATTATTAAAGAGAGAACTTCAAAACTGTGCTTTGTTAAACGAAATGAGTGTACAATTTGAGTCGACAAATATTCCAGTGTTAATACTAGGTGACTCTGCCTTTTGCTTGTCAAGACATATTATGAAGCCGTTTCCATTTCATCTTAACCACACCACTGCTCAAAAGGTATTCAACTACCGATTATTAAAATGTCGCAGAGTAATAGAAAATGTATTCGGTCATTTAAAAGCAAGGTAATAAACTTGCAGTTAATTTTATTTGCATCTTTCAAACGCTTTAAAAAATACATATGCAGATTCCGCAGGATTGGAAAAGGAATTGACAATGGTGTTCAAAATACGAACTCAGTCATTAAAGCATGCTGCGCTTTACACAACTTTTTAGTGGAAGAAAAGGATGAGTTATTCACAAGTTGGTTTCATGAGCAACGAATTAATGACCGAGATAGAAAATACCCAAACCATTCTACGTATCTAACGAATAATGGAAATGAAGCCGAAGGAATAAGGAACACTCTCAGTTTATATTTTGGTGAGTAAGAGCTTGGTTGAGTCGCGATCACAACATTAGTATTGCTAGTTAAAATTCAATTCAAAATTACAGTGATATACAGCTGCGGTCAATAAGATAGTAGCAAAATTCAAAACGATGTTGCTTGCAACTTATGTTTATTTATTTATTGTTTATAATTTTCATTTAAAATATGAGTCGATCGATATCAGGTACCACATAAATAAAAGTTTCAAAGCTTGCAGAAAGTTCACAAAAACCAATTAAACTTAAAAAAATTTTCATCAAAATTTCTATTTCTTAATTAGATTTCCTAGAAGTATTTCGTATAATAATAATAAGGTGGAAGTTTCAAGTCCCTAAAAATTACCGTTGATTTTTTAGATTTGTTTTTGTCTAGGGTATTGCGTATTTTCTTCCATATAACGCATGAACAAAATTTATTTTTATTTGGAAGAAAATGCTCAACACCCTAGTCAAAAAAAAAATCTAAAAAATCAACGGTAAATTTGAGGGACTTGAAACTTACACTTTATTATACTGAAATTGAATGGGCTATAAAACTGCGTACTGTATTTAATTAAAAAAATAGAAATTTTGATGAATTTTTTTTTTAGTTTAATTAGCCTTTTTTAGTTTTTAATTCAAACGGCTCAAACAGTCTAAATACCTTGCGTTAGTTTTTTATTGTCGTCGCGCATTTCCTTCTACACCTGTAATTTTTCTTCCACCTTCCCTATTTCTTCGTCCATAATTTTATTTTCAGCATCTGCTTTTTTGTAGCACTTGCCGAACTCTGCATACACTGAAACTAATTTATCCACATTTTTTTTCAGCACGCGCATTTGATGAGGACGGCAAATCAGATGGCAATTCAGGTGACAACGGGGAGAGCAACGAGACCACAGAGGTCGATGGCGAAGGTGTTGGCAGTGGCACAACCATTGGGGCGTGGGTTGATATTTCTTGAGAATTGCCTGATAATGTAATGAAAGCTAAATAAAATAAGCCATATCACAAATTAAATAAAAAAATGTGTATTGATTTTGAATGCTCTCGTGCACGACAACGTCAACGTTGTTGATTCTGTGGCCTCCGATTATTCTGTGCACTGGCCCCGTGCAGATGCCACTGCGCCAGCGCACCTACTGAGGGCCCACTGGATTCCTAGCATTTTCTGCACAAATACTGACACATATATGCATGTTTTTTAATTGTTATATTCGGGGACATAACAGTTATAAGTTTTATCGGAAAAACGTTGTTCCATAACAGTTATTAGATGAGAAATATTTTTTATTTCGCCGATAAGAGTTATAGCCCTACGTTTACTTTTTGCGTTGCGTGAGAACGATTATGCAGGAGAAATATATTTTCCGTCGTCAATAACAGTTATTTCCCAACGTTTATCTTTTACGAGATAACAGGTATTGTTGGTCCCTGTTTATATTCCATGCATTGATGGGCAAACCTAAATACTTTTGTACTTAAAGTACCACTTTTACTAAATACACAAATTCTTAATATTCAAATGAAAAGGGCTTAGGTATTTAGGAGCTGCTAAATAAATACCCAAGTAATAAAAACTTAGGTATTTAGGAGTATGCTAAATCTTCAAATAAAAAATACTTAGGTATTTAGGAGCAGCTAAATACCCAATTAAAAAATATTTAGGTATTTAGGCGCTATTAAGTATTAAAGTAAGAAAAACTTGAGTATTTAGGAATTGCTAGATACTAAAATACAAATAATTAAAATATTTAGCGGGCGGCAAATACTCCGGTCCAAAGTACTCAGGTACCTTTGGGATGCAAAATACTTTCACTAAAGTACCAAGGTTTTAGTGGATGGCTAAATACTTTCAAACTAAATACTGTATAGTTTAGGGGAAATTTAGAGAATTAACACCTAACCTTACACTCACCTCAACTTACTTTACCACAACTCACTTCACCTCTCCTCAAATCAACTCACCACACCTCACCAAAACTCGCCGCATATCAATTTGGGAACTGTTTCGGGATTTTGGCGATTCTGCGGACTAAATCAGGATTCTCAAGACTATTTCGGGATTCTAGAAGCTTTTTCGTAATTCTTTCGGGATTTCCAGAAACTTTTTTGGGACTTTCGGGATTCTCCGAACTAATATCGGGATTTTCCAGACTACTTCGGGACTATGGACGAATTTTTGGGACTAGTTTCGGCTTTTTCGACTTTCGGGACTACTTCAGGAGTTTTGGGACTTTCGGGATTCTCATTGAACTTGATCAAAAATATAAAATACACTGGCTTACAGAAAGTTAAATTTCTTAAAGTAGTTTACTCTAGTTCGCACTCTTTGCTCAAATCGTAATGAACTCAGCCGATTTTGACGTAGCAAAGTGGCCATTCCGGCATTCGAAAAGATGCGCTCAACGGGTGCTGATGATGGCAGAGGCGTATTGGTCTTTATAAATAATTTTCCTACCGTCGGGTGCAAATTGAACATAAGTAGGTGCGTTCGGCTATCAGTAGGGAAATTTTTAAGTTCACTTTTCCGCTCTAAATTTCCAAAAATAGGTTCCGCATTTTGGCAAGAACTTGGTCCGAAATCAAAAAAGTCATCTTCACTCGAAGGCTGTCCAGAGTCTGACTTATCTTTTGTTTTAGCTTCCAATACCTCCTTTAATACAAGCTTGCGTGCTCCGCTTTGTGCGTCATTGTACAAGCATATTAACACCATGCCTTGAATTTCGGCTGAAGAATTGCTGATAAAGCCGCTGTTTCCCCATCACCATTTATATGAAAAAAAAGATGCTGAATCTTCTTTCTAAAGCATCCAGTAATGCCTTAATAACATGGTTACAGCAACCTAAATGCTTTTCTTTAAGTATGGGAGAATGTTTATTGCGCAGTGAAACTTAACTGGGCGTTAGGTACCCGTAAGTACAGTTTTATTCACCCTGTAAAGTACACATACAAATATTTATATATATAATTTTTAATTTATGAAGTCATTTTCGTTTAGGGGATTCACCAGACGTGTTAACCGCCGTAAAATCTTAAGCTTAACATATTTTTAAGTAAAATAATGATTAAAATGGTGCATGAATGGCCACTTAATAATAATAATAGATTGGCGCTTACACATATGTTAATGTTTGGCCGAGCATCTGCTCCGATTTTTGGCGTGCGCCTTGATGTTGTCACACAAAGCGGAGGGACCTACAGATTTACGCCGCTGCGAACGGCGATTGTATTTTTATGAGAGGCTATTTTTCATGGCAGAAATACACTCAAAGGTTTGCCATTGCCTGCCGAGGGTCGACCGCTGTTAAGAAAATACCTTTTTTTTCTATCTTTTTTGCGATGTCGCTTTGACCAGTGCTTGACCCCACCCGCGCACTGCCTACCACTACACCACAACGGCCGGCCAGTAATGGCCACTTTTCCACCTCAAAATTGGCTGTAGACCTAAGTAAACTACTTTAAGAAATTTAACTTTCTGTAAGACAGTGCAGTTTATATTTTTGATCAAGTTCAAGTTGAATTTTTTAATTTGGATTAGCAACCTTCTTTTAGAAAATAGGTATATTTGGTGAAACGTGGATAAATAATAAGATTTTAGATCCAATACGTGTGGATTACTGTACGAAATAGTCCCGAAAGACACTAAAATCCCTATATAACTCCAGGGGATACCGAAAATCCCTAAGTGGTCCCGAAAATCCCAAAAATCCGAGATTATTCCCGAGAATCCCGAAATAGTCCAGAAAGTCCCAAAAATCCGAAATAAGTGCCAAAAATGTGGAATTAGTCCCGAAAGTCCCAAAAATTCCGAAATTACTTCCGATAATCCTGAAATAGTCCTGAAAGTCCCAAAAATCCGAAATTAGTCGTAAAAATTTCGAAATACTCCCGAAAGCACCAAACATCCCGATATAATCACAAAAATTCCGAAATGGTGCCGTAACCCCAAAAATCCGAAATTAGTCCCAAAGATCTAAAAATAGTCCCAAAATTTAAGTCCCAAAAATCCCTAAATACTTCCGCAGGTGCAAAAATCCTAAATTAGTCCCGAAAATCTCGAGATGGGTCCGAAAGTCACAAAAATCCAAAAATAGTCCCGAAAGTCCCTAAAATCCGAAATACTCCCAAAAATCCCAAAAATTTGAGATTATTTCAGAGAATCCCGAAAGTCCCAAAAAATCCGAAATAAGTGCCGAAAATCCGGAAATAGTCCCGAAAGTCCCAGAAATACCGTAATTACTCACGATAATCCCTAAATAGTTCCGAAATTCTTCCGAAATTCCCTTCCGAAAACCCGAAATGGTCTCGAAAGTCCCAAAATCGCGATACTAGTCCCGAGAATTCCTTAAGTCTCACAAATTCCGATATTTGTCCCGAGAACCCCGAGATAGTCCCAAAGTTTCGAAAATCCCGAAATCCTTTATTTTCACACTAAGTAGATATCAAGTATCCAGTGTTTAGTGAAACCCTAAATACTAAGTTACTTTTGTATCCAGTATTTAGTAAAGACAAAGTCTCTCAATACTTTTGTTCGCGGTATTTAGTGAAGGCAAAGCCACTAAATATTTTTGTTCGCAGTATCTAGTAAAGCCAAAGTCACTTAATACTTGAGTACGCGGTGTTTCGTTAGGTGAAACTAACTAAGTTCTTTTAGACGAAGTATTTAGCGACGTGAAAATAAGTAAATACTAGCATACTTGGTAGCATACTTGGAACTCCGTAAAATGATTTTCGCGCTCTCGATGCGCTTTGGCCTTCGGTTGCTATGTGCATTGCATATCGCGTGAGTTTGCGACGTCGTGCTTGCACTGGGGTTCATTTCTGCCAATTCGAGATATGGCCTTTTGCAACGTTCTGTAAAAGAGGAAAGCAAACAATTATGCAGAGGGCGCTGCTCAATATGCATTTTAATATTCTTGGGGCGTATAAATAAACGAGTAAATAAATATTTTGTTGTGGGCTCATGGGTTAGAGCTTATTGCTTCGAATGAGCGGGTCTTATATATTACCCTTTAGTTCGAGTTATGTAGTGTGCTCATGGGTTAGAGCTTATGGCATTGAATGCCATCTTATTTATTGCCCTCTATTTTCAAAGTTTTGCGACGGAACCGCTTATCACCCAACCAAATCTAGTTTCCAGCGCTATTACATTATCTTGTATTTTTCGGACTCCAGGTCTGAGAACTTGTGGAAGTATGTCGCTTCCAATAACCAGATCTATGGGTGCTGGTTTGCTGGAATGGGGGTCAGCTAGTTCATGGGCATTGAATTGTTTAATAAATTCACGACTTACGGGGGAAGTCGCTAAGCACTCCGTTAACTGCTTGAATATGACAGCTTTTGTATTTATCTTCCGCTTTGCCTTGCGGTAGTTATATTTAGTTCGCATGCATTTTTAGTGCGTATTGAGTTACATCCACCAATATGAAATACTTCCAACTGTGAATGTTCGGTTGGGAGCTTCAACCTCTTTTGAGCTGCTGACGAAATAAAGGTTCTTTGGGACCCTTGGTCAAGCAATGCTCTGCGTTGAAACTGTTCTCCTCGATGCTCTATTGTCACTATTTCAGTTGGGAGGAGAACTTCATGTTCATTGGCAATTCGGAGCGAGTTAACATGCGCGGAGTTTGAGCAGGTGGGTTGCTTATCGCTATTACTTTTGGAGTTTGCGTATTGGTTGGGTGGTGATCATAGGGGATCACTCGCTCTTTATTTTGCGGGTCTGTGATGCTTTGGGTATGCCCACAGCTTTCATTTATTTGTCGATCGCGGGTGATCGATTTATTAATATTTTCTTTTATTCTAGCCTTTTTGGAATGGCCTTTATTTGAATGAACTTGAAGTAACGAGTTATGCCTTTTCTGACAATACATGCATTTAAATGGTGACTTGCATTCTGCCACGGTATGATTGAAGGCGAGGCAATTTCGGCATAATTTATTAGCTTTAACAAATTGTATGCGCCTTTGTTTCGTGAATGTTTTAAACATTTGAGACTTTTTCATAGGATGTGGGGTGTTACATAAATAACAAGAAAACACCATTTTGGAATTTGTTTGAAAGGCTTTTGTGTTACTGTGGGATTTTGTTAGAGCAGAGTGTTTTTGGGAATTTCATTTCTACCCTTTCTAACACGTGAAACCTGGACGTTAGGAATTCGTCCATTTGAGACCATAAGGGAAGATCTCGTCTTGTGGGCAATGATTGCTCCCATAGTAACCGGGTATCTTTGGGCAATTTGGATACGCAAATATGTATAAGGATAGGGTCCCAGCTGTCCGTCAAAACCTTTTGAGTATTAGTAAAATGAACATTTTCAAATCGCTTTTTAAAACGATCGTTTGATAATTGGAAATTCTCATATTCACATGAGAGACTAAAATTTTTATTTTATATTCCAAAATATGCGTTTTCAAAAATGATTTTGAATTTCTATTTTGATTAAAACACAGTCATCTGATATTTAAAACTATACATTG